TTGTTTTTCTCTTTATTCACTTATAACATTCTGTCCTGTTTGCTCTCATAGAGTTTTACTTTACGTTTTCATCTTTAAAATTTTTCATTTGAAAGAATGAGGAAACAGCTTGTAATTCATAAACTAAAGCCCTCCAGAGAGAAGACCAGAAGTCTAAAAATAAACAGAAAGTCATGATGACTCAATAACAAATTTAATATGTTTTTGTAACTAGAAGCCAAGAATTATGCTCCTAATTTTACCTGGGAATTATTAGGGAGGCTTGTGAGAATTAGAAATTACTATTTGATTTTTTTTCCCATTTGCATTTCAGCATAAGGTTATTTTCAAGGTGATTTACAGATTCTAGTTGCCTTTTTTGGACAAATGATTTCTATTCTTATAATAGTCTAAAACAATGAGGTGATTCTGAATACAGGCAATATATATTATAAAATGCATTGGAGTGGAGTCGAGAAACTGAATTTAGGAAAAATGTCCTAAATTTATGAGTATCTAGTCTAACTTTCCAAGTTTATAAAATAAAAGCGCAGGGATAAAATAAGTTGTAATTTTATATCTATTTTTTGTTCTCTAGCAGGTTATAGCATAAATATTCATGGTATTGTTCAAATGTGTTATTTGAAAATCACTCTAAATGTAACTATAATTACAAAAATCAAAAGGTAAATCACAAAATCTTTTGTTTTAGAAATTAGCTGTATATATTTTTACATAAAAATATGTCATAATTTACCCTAATTCTAATTATAATAATTTAGAATTGGTCCATATGTTCTGGTGATCTCTGTAAGAAGTTTTCTCTAAACTTAGTAGCTTAAAACTATGCTTTTATTATGCTCACAACTTTGTGTTAAGTCAAGAACTGTGAATGATTCAGCTGGGTAGCTCTACCCTTTGGTTTTTCAGGCAGTTGTTGGTTGGGGCGTTAGTCACCTGAGGACTCCATGAGGCTGGATGTCCAAGGTGACTCATTCTCATGGCTGGCAAGCTTGCTGGGTGGCCTTTGAGAGCTTATTTAGACCTGCCAGTGAAAGCACCACTCGGTTTGTGCTTCTCAGCGTGGCTGGTAGGTTCTTTTATTGACTGGGTAACTTGAAATAGAGATTCTAAGACACCATTGCGGAAGACAAAAGGCCTTTCCTGACTTATGCCTGAAAACCACACAGTTAATTATGTCATATTCTATTGGTCATGCAAATTAATGAGCCCAGCCTAGCACCAAGAAAAAGAGCATTAGGCTTCACTTTCAAATAGGAATACTAACAAAGGATTTACATCCATCTTAATCTGCCACATTGAGCTACACATTTATGAATACTTACTGCAATAGGAAACAATAAAGAATTTTAGTCCTAAAGTTAATTGCATTTGAATGAGAACAGATGACACTATATTAAATTATATGTTTTCCTATCTAAGAATAATGTATATTTAAATAGCAAAAAGTTAAATTGGTTACATTAGAGTACAAGTTAATGAAATAACTTTATTTTGAAAACAAAAAATATCAAAACTGTAAATTCTACATACGAATATGATTTCTACCTCAATAGATTGTCCTGCCAAGTATGTTCTAAAATTTTGCAAATATAAATGGCCAGGCATGGTAGCTCACGCCTGTAATCCTAACTCTCTGGGAGGCCAAGTGGGTGGATTGCCTGAGCTCAGGAGTTAGGGATCAGCCTGAGCAAGAGGAGACCTTGTCTTTAAAAATAGCTGAGCATGGTGGCAGACACCTGTAGTCCCAGTTACTGGAGAGGCTGAGGCAAGAGGATAACTCGAACCCAAGAGTTTAAGGTTGCTGTGAGCTATGACACCATAGCACTCTACCAAGGGCAACAAAGTAAGACTCTGCCTCAAAAAAATAAAAAATAAAAAATAAAATTTTGCACATATAATGAGAATTTCAGGAAATTTTGCTATCAGTCCTCATCTGAGGGTATTATTCAAGGGCTTGCATTCTGCATATTAGATACTTATGTGGTTGCCTCATATATATATAACAACAAAAACACACTCTGAGCAATGAAGATTCATTTGTGAAGTCATTCACAGAGAAGGCTTTTAAAAAGTTTCTTTGGTAGCATACAATATATCTTCAATATGTGTTATTCCATAGATAAATGCAAATATATTAGCTCTACCTGATTTAAAGCTATGAGATTGTGAACTTCTTGAAATATTTCCCCAGGAGTAAAGTCTGAGAATTGTTAAAATGAACATAGTTTTGGGAAACCAAGCTTCTTTATTATTACTAGTAGACACAATGTAGACAGATCTTCCATTTTAAACTATTTAATTGACAAAATGCTGGTTAATAAAAAAAATGCTGTTGTTAATTAATCAATAAAAAACAACATAGTACATAGTAGCAGACTCACGGTCTCGGTGCCAGGAGTGGTTAGCTGACCGCTTCCAGCTGTTAGCTCCTTCAGAGCCCGCTTCTGCATCCTATCTGGCATCTGGGCTCCTCACTGGGTCATCTAAAGCAATGATTGAATAAGGTAGGGGTTGCTGAGGCCTAGCTATTTTTGAGGTACTCCCAACCAATGACTAAAAATGGGAGTGGGACACAGCCTACGCCTCCCGCAACATGAGATTCCTCTGAAAGGACATCTTGGCTCTGGAACTTCTCTTTTAGCTGACGAAAACTTGTCAGTATGAATCATGGCCCTCCCTCTCCCTTTCCAAATCCTGTTCTTCCCCTTTTCATTCAAATTTCCTTTTCTTCCCCTTCTCCAATAAACATATTGTGCCCTTAATTCCGTCTCAGTATTTAATCCCTGGAGAACGAACCTGAGACCACATGTTATTTTATGAAGAGAATTAACTTTTCATGAATGAAATATATGTAAGACTTTGGGAATTTTAAATACTAACATAAAAGAGTTTTTGTCATCAGGTGTTTTATCATCTTTTATCATCAGAAATTCCCATGGGGCTCACAGACGTTAACTAATAGAATCACATGGCTATATACTTGCAGCATCAAAGATTTGGATATTTCCTAAATATCTCTCTGATTCTAAGAAACAGGATTATTTTCTTACCCACTTCCTAGGTATGCTAATTTCCCCTTTGCAATGTAGAGCGAGAAGAACCATTTGCCATGGACAGTAACATTTAGAATCTACAAAACTAAGTATTGAAAGCGATGAGTATAAACTCTAACCACAAAACTCACAATTTGGTCAAAAAATGGGATTGCTACAAGAGAAGAAATAGATAGTCGGCATCTCCCTCTCAGTCAAGCTGGTTGTAAACAAAAGTAAAGAGATATTAATGAATTGGAACTATTAATTCTGCATTGCTCAGTATAGAAGTAGAAATTATTAAAACCCTGAGAACTATCATAGTCTGTTTTCTCTAAGCTTTTAGTAGTTTTCTTCCTTGCCAGCTCAAATAAGGGGGCAGATTTTAGAGAAAGTGGGTATTCCCCTAATGTTTGCACCATTTACTTGGTCAGTTTGTGGGAGGAAAACATGAGTACGAGTATCTTATATGTGCCAATTATTAGGTTTTATGCTAATGGACTAGGTATGTCTGCTCTTGTAAGGAAACAAAGTCCTTCAGTGCAGCTGGGACTTGTAACCCAGCCAGCAAGGGGAACTTCCTAGTGAGATCAGGAGTTACGCCTGTGATGTGTCTTACTCAGGCAATATTGTGAGGGGTAGAAGGGTGCACTGGACGGAGACAGTACAGTGCAGAGGGGTGACATCCACGTGCATGTGTGAAGTGAAGAGCTGTGACAGCGTATTACATTTCAGCTCTGTAGGAGTGAGTGAAAGTCGTGAGGAAATTGAAAGTCGAAAATTTTGCAACTTCGAAAATACACAAGTAACAGATAATGAAGAGCACAATATGCTATGCTGAAGTGTTTGGGCATCTTTTTTCTTGAAGAAGGAGATGATTAGCTGTTAAATTAGGAAGCAACAGAATTAATTCTCACTTAGAAAAATTTCTGGCAGACAGAGAAAGTGCTGGAGCCAGAGGTAGGGAAACCACGTTAGAGATTTGCCGAAATTTGGGGGAGAAGCAGTGAGCCCTTAGAGTCAGGCACTGGGGAGTAGAGATGGGTGTCCAAGAAATAGTAAAGAAGAAGAGATTAAAGACTTTGGGTTCAGACTTGGTTCAAGGCGAGAAGGGGCTGAGAGTACAGGATGCTTGCTGATTATTATTTTAGGAAATAGGAAGATTATGGGGAAAGAGAAAAGTTTCAGGTGAGGGAAGAGGATATTGGGCTGAATGTTGAGTTTGAATGTCTGTGGGATAATGCTAAGTGTGTTTGTGTGTGTATGTGTGGGTGTTCAGTAAGTAGTAGTGCTTATGAGTTGGAGGATACAAGATAGATAATACTGAATTAGGTAGGTGCATGTGGGAGTTCCCAGCATAGAGTACTAGAGGCCATGATATGGATGTATTATGTACATAGACATTGTGGTTGAGAATACATGCAGTATGTGAAGATTATATTCCCAAAGATTAAGATTTGGTGAAAGAGATCATGTAATAGGGACATCATTAAAGACAAAAATTGTAACTTAGCTGTTGGTTTGAGAATTAATGTTTAATTGTTGCAGGAGAACAAATGGTAGATATAGTATCTTTTGTAATGTCTCTTTTTATTCTCCTGATTATATATGCACAAGAATAGGAGGAGGAATAATTTAGGATGGTTCCTTGGTTTCTGTCTTAGGCAACAAAATGGGAAAGAGATACCAAAAAGAAAACAAAAATAACTGTGTCCAAAAAAAAAAAAAAAAAAAAACCCAGAGGGGGGTGTGTGTGTTTGTGTGTATCCTGTGTAGTATAAAACCATTTTGGAATATATATTTTTTTACACTTAGAATATATTAGGAAACATATCACACTGTAGAGGAAATTTGAGTTTCATTAGTCAGAAGCAATTATCTCCCACTGTGTGAGGCTGACTTTCTTTATCAAGAGCACAGTGAAAGGGCTAAGCCTATTATGCCGTCTCTTTGATGTTTTTATAGGATATAATGAAAGATGAATGCTCGATGCTCAAGCTGCAGCTGACGGAGAAGGATGAACTCATTTCCCAACTTCAGGAAGAGCTGGTAAGTGATAACAATACTAGGCCCACAGAGTGCATTTTCCTTGCAAGGTTATTTGTTATAAACCCTTATTTATTAGCACTACAGTATTAACTATTTATAAATGCTATTAATGATTGAATCTGATTATCCATTCTATGATCTCAGGTCACCAAGACTGTAGATCTTTCACAAGATGAAAAACCGAGAGAATTATTTATATCTGGACACTTATATAATTCCAGAAACATATTCCTGAACCAAGGTTAAACATTTCAGTTGTATTTATCAAAAGTCATGAAGGCTAAGGCCACATAATATTTTGTGAAGTGTATAATTTAACTCCATACTGCTATACCTAGAGATACAATCATAACATAAAACAAAATAATCTGGAAAGCAAAATAGATTTTATTTTCACAGAGCTACCAAAATGTGTTAATTTAATGAGACCTTTTGTTAATTTATTATGTAATTCCCAAATAAATGGAAAAATTATACAAAACATAAAATTAAATATAGTTTATGCTTTCAGGGTTTGGCTTTTATATGTGACATTGTAGAATAACATAAGGGATCATATTTTCACACCGTGAAAATACATTTGGTAAGAGCTGTGGGCATTATTTTTCTAGGTATGCATTTTCAATTTTGTTATTATATTAAGAGTATTTTCCAATAAAACATGCACTCGGGATACAAATAAAAGTGATAGCACTCTAAAACAAGAGTTAAATAAAGAGTAAGAAGGGATTATTTTTATTCATCAGGAGTTTTTACAATAGCAGTGGAATAAAGAAATAGCTATGCAATAAAAAAGATCCTGACTCTCTATCAAGAAAGATCAAGAAACAAATCTTAGTCAGAAATATTTTTTATAATTATTCCAGATTAACAATGGTGTGTTAGGTAATTGTTAAATGTAACTAAATGACCAGATTATACATCATCAGGTATCTGAAACTTTCTAACATTTTAGTGAGATATCAGATGAATTTGGGACATACTCTATTGACTCTTGAAATTGATAATGTTTTCACTGAAACTTGACCTTTATTTAAACCATGTTCTATTGACAATGCTGATAATTGGTCTTATTATTGCTCCTATGTAACTTTAGGAAACCTATAAACTAGTAATTAAAATAGCAGGAGTATTACAGACTAAAGGAACCTGTCTTGTATTAGTGGAAGTAACTTTTATCAGTAATATATTTATAATATAAATTTTACATATTACATAGTGAAAACATTTCTCTATTAAACCTCACCCTCTAAATATGTATTGTGTAATGAGCTGTGTTTGTGTGGCATACAAAAATATCTTTGAGTTGAATAAATGTCGCATAGATATTTATGGAAGGAAGGATAGAATCATCAATTTTAACCCAGCAGAATATCCATTCATTTTTGTCAGAGAGTGCTTATTTTGGATAACTAACTCAGAAGTATTCATTTTTCTTCTTAGCATTAGTTGTGATCAGATTTAAAACATAGCAAAACACAAGAAATCAGACCTTCATTTGTTAAACCAAATGAGAAAGAACATGACTCCTTTCAGAGCCAGTACCACATAGTTATAATTAAAGTGATTCAGCGTCCCTCCTTTCAAAAAAAGGTCCCAGGTTGGCTGACTTACTAAAATGAGACACAACTATGTGTGTTTTTCTTTTCTTTAAACTTGAATTACACAAATTGGCTATTTTGCCTCTAAAATTTCCCAGGTAACCATCAAGGTACCTTTTAATTTTGTGCTATGTTATTTGTATAATCATCTTGAATATCTCAATGCAGGAAAATGTTAAGTTTTGAAAATGTAGTTTGTTTTTTGTTTGTTGAGGAGGACTGCAGCTAAGGAAGAAAGTGGATAAGGGATTTTTTAAAAGGAGAATGCAGTTTAAAAAAGCATTGTTAAAACTGAATTTGGAAGGTGGATGAGGGGTAGAACTCACACGGGTTCATGGGGTTCATGGAAAGTGTTGATTCTAGTACTCTGGTATTGATAACTCATGACATTCTGACAAGGTAGAGGTTAAATTTTACATTTTTACTTTCTCTACCTAAATTTTAAAATATCAAAAAATCATAGAAACCACTCTAGTTCTACTGTATTATTTACTTGCAGATGCGTAATATATAACCATTTAGAACTTGTTTACTTTTCTGTTATGTCTTGTGAGTTCCTCATTTCTTGACCACTGCTGTTATCACAAGCCATTTTATCCACATATACACTGCAGAGCAAATTTAGCTGTAATTATACTAACCAAGGCTTTGTACCCAATTAATAATTAAAACAGTTTTACTTCTTAAAATTATTTGTTTACTTATTTAACTTCATCATGATAGGTTTAAGAGTTGTAAAAAGTCACAGTCGGGTGCAGTTGGGACACAATAAATGTTTTGAAATGCAAGTTTTAAAAATGTATTTTTAGGGCAGGGCCCTGTTGGCCGTTTCAGGTAGCAGCTCTGCTGTGTCTGGTAGGATGTCCGGCAGTAGCCTGGCCTCTTCTCACTAGATTCCAGCAGCATCCCCCGGAATTGTCACACGTCTCCTGGGGACAAAATCACCCCCATTTTGTCCATAGCTTTAGTGGCATTAGATGTGAGTATATTGTCTCCATCCTGGGGACGAACTCGCCCCCGTTTTGTCTGTTGCTTTAGTGGTATTAGGTGTGAGTATGTTGTCTCCAGTGGACTTGTATGCTACAGGCTAAACATCTACCTGTCGATAACGAAAGAAACAAAAGTCCTGAGGAGGGGGCGGGCCTTACCTTGGACTAGGACACTGTAACTATTTGCATGCCTTGTTAGTCTGCTTGAGTTGCCAAAACAAAATACCATTGATGGGGTGCTTTACACAACAAAAATTCCTTTTCCCACTATTCTGAAGGCTGGCAGTCTGGGATCAGGTGCAGCACGGTTGGGTTCTGATGAGAGTGCTCTTCCTGGATTGCAGATGGCCATCTTATTACTGTGGGTTCATATCGCCTTGCACTGGGGCCTGCCACACTGAGAGAGAGAGGGAACATTTGGTGTTTTCTGGTGTTTCTTTTTCTAAGGGCATTCATCTCGCCATAATCACTGCACCCTATGACCTCATCAAAACCTACCATCCCCAAATTCCTTCACATTGCAGAGCTTCAGTATATGAATTGGGGAGGGGACAATTCAGTCCGTAAGTCCATAGAACATGCTCTTTCTGCTCACGCCTATTTGATATTGGCAAGTACAGTGGTAGTCAGAAAGTTTTATTTCTTTTTCAAACACTAAATGCACCTTTCAAAAGTTATTCTTTTTCTACTCCATGATTTCAAGATCGTTACCTAGGTTCAGCACTTCTTTCCTGATGGGTTGGGAGATTTCACCAAGCACAAATATATCAAGAAACTCAAAATAATAGTTTCAATTTTAGATTATATATTGACAGTGTTTGGGTAAACTATCCACATTGTTAACTGTATGTCTTACATGAGTGTTTTCATAGACACACTTTTAATTTATCCCTCTCTGTTCTCTTTGAAAAGAAGACAACAGCAGTTGGAACTCTTAGGAACGATTTCAAGAAGTCTGAAATTATCATTCATGAAATCTATATGCATTATTTATCTTAGTGAGTTTTGCTATTTTTAACAGACAAAACTAATCATTCACAATTATTTTCTGATGTCAAAAGGAATATTAAATGTTAGAATATTAGAGTGTCCTGGGAGTGTGTATGTTGTAGGACAACTAATTGTAGAAAATAAGAAATACTGTCTGGAGCCAGGAGTTGGTGGTACGATATACAGATAAACAGAAAGGAGCTGACACACAGCATGGGGCATCTGCTCCCAGTTGTTTTATAATAATAATATCTCTGCGTTAAATAAGAACTGGATCATAGGAAGGATTTATTCCCTTCATCTTCCTTACCTTTCTTTAAGAAAGGCCTTGCATTTCTGGGCGGTACCTGTGGCTCAGTGAGTAGGCCATATACCAAGGGTGGCAGGTTCAAACCTGGCCCCAACCC